CCAAACCTCCCACAGTCATCCCAAATCACCTCATAATGACCCCAAAATGACCCAAAATCCCCCGAATTCTCCCCAAAACCCCTCTCACTTCATGTTCTCGACGTCCCGGCCCCGCAGGGCGCACAGGGGGATGGCCAGGAGCCCCAAAACCACCCCAAATCCCCCCATAACCACCCCAAATCCCCCCATAACCACCCATATCTCCCCATAACTGCCCCATATCTCCCCATAACTGACCCAAAATGACCCGAAATGACCCAAAACCCCCCGAATTCCACCCAAAACCCCTCTCACTTCATGTTCTCGACGTCCCGGCCCCGCAGGGCGCAGAGGGGGATGGCCAGGAGCCCCAAAACCACCCCAAATCCCCCCAAAACCGCCCCATATCTCCCTATAACTGACCCAAATCTCACACAAAATGACCCCAAAATGACCCAAAACGCCCGGAATTCCACCCAAAACCCCTCTCACTTCATGTTCTCGACGTCCCGGCCCCGCAGGGCGCACAGGGGGATGGCCAGGAGCCCCAAAACCACCCCAAATCCCCCCAAAACCACCCATATCTCCCTATAACTGACCCAAATCTCACACAAAATGACCCCAAAATGACCCAAAACGCCCGGAATTCCACCCAAAACGGGTTCTCACTTCATGTTCTCGACGTCCCGGCCCCGCAGGGCGCACAGGGGGATGGCCAGCAGGGCCAGCAGCAGGATCCAGCCGTTGTAGAATCCCATCTTGCAGAAGAAGCGGAAGGAGCCGCAGCGCTCGTACAGCAGCGGCAGCAGCAGCAGCGCCAGCGCCAGCGCCGCCGTCCCCACCGTCACCTCCATCGCGCCTGGAAACGGGGAGAGAAGGTTCTGGAAGGGTCTTGGGGGGGGGTGGGGGGAGAAATCATAAAAAAATCTGGCACAAAACGGCACGTAAAGACTCCAAATTATTCATTTTGGGGGGGAAAAAACTCCGTGAAAAAAACACCAAATCTGGCCCAAGATTGCATTTTTGAGGCCCTGAATTGTCCATTTTGGGGAGAAAAACCTCCAAGAATTCATAAAGAAACCCAAATCTGCCGCAAAATTAAACCTAGGAACTTCAAATTATTAATTTTGTGGAAAAGACCCCCAAAAAAACCCAGTGGAAAACCCCAAATCTGCCCCAAAATTGCATTTTTGAGACCCTAAATTGTCCATTTTGGGGAGAAAAACCCCAAAAAATTCATTAAAAGCACGGAATCTGCCCCAAAATTAAACCTAGGAACTTCAAATTATTAATTTTGTGGAAAAGACCCCCAAAAAAACCCAGTGGAAAACCCCAAATCTGCCCCAAAATTGCATTTTTGGCACCCTAAATTGTCCCTTTTGGGGAAAAAAAAACAAAAAAAATCCATTAAAAACACGAAATTTGCCCCAAAATTACACTTTAAAGACTCCAAATTGTTTCCTCTGTGGGGCTTGGGGTGATTAATCCCAAAAAAAACCCCTAAAAAACCTGAAATTCACCCCAAAATTACCCTTGGGGACCCCAAAATCCCCTCAGGAACCCCCAAAATCCCTTTTACCCCAAAATCCCCCTCAGGACTCCAAAAATCCCTCATTTTACCCCAAAACCCCTCATTTTCACACCAAAATTCCTCATTTTTACACCAAAAAGTCTCATTTTCACACCAAAATCCTCTCAGGACCACCCAAATTTCCTCATTTTTACCCCAAGAACCCTCATTTTCACCCCAAATTTCTTCATTTTCACTCCAAAATCCCCTCAGGACCCCCTAAATTCCCTCGTTTTCACCCCAAATTTCTTCATTTTCACTCCAAAATCCCCTCAGGACCCCCTAAATTCCCTCGTTTTCACCCCAAATTCCCGCATTTTCACCTCAAGTTCCCTCATTTTTACACAAAAATCTCTCATTTTCACACCAAAATCCCTCATTTTCACCTCAAGTTCCCTCATTTTTATACCAAAATCTCTCATTTTTACCCCAAAATCTCCTCAGGACCCCCCCAAACCCCCTCATTTTCACCCCGAACCCCAAAATCTCCTCGATTTCCCCTCAAACCCCCCAAAATCTCCTCAATTTCCCTCAAACCCCCAAAATCTCCTCAATTTCACCCCAAAATCTCCTCAATTTCCCCCCGAACCCCCAAAATCTCCTCATTTTCCCCCAAAATCTCCTCATTTCCCCCCCGATCTCCCTCAGGGCCCCTCCCTCCCCTCAGGGCTCGGCCGGGCCCGGGCGGGGCCGGGCGGGGCGGCCCCGTGGGCGGCCCCAGCGCATCCCCGGAACCTCCAGCGGCCTCATCCCCTCCCCGCGGCCCCCGAGCCCCCTCGGGACCCCCTCGGGACCCCCAAAATCCGCTCGGGACCCCCAAAATCCCCTCAGGCCCCGCCGGTACCGGGAGGGGCGGCGGCTGCGGCGGCGGCGCGGGCCCGTCCCAGCGCCGGAAGCGACGTCACTGATTGACAACCGCGTCGGCCAATCAGCGCCGCGCGCAGCGCGTCCCGCCCCCCTCCTCAGGGCCGTGCGTGGTTGCCTTGGTAACGAGGAAAGGGCGGGAAAATAAACCGCCAAACCAGCGCGTCGCCACGGCAACGCGGCGGGGTGTCGTCCCGCCCCGCACTTCTGATTGGACAAGCGTTATGCCTATCAACGCGGCGCGACCAATCAAAAACTAGCCGGTGGAAGCAGCGCCCCGCCAGCCAATCGCGTTTCGCAGGGGGCGGATCCTCGCTGATGTGAGCCAATAGCAGCGCGGCACTTTGATTGACAGGGGAGGGGGGAGATGGTGTGAGGGGAAGGAGAAGATGGCGGCGGCGGGCGGCGCTGAGGGGAGGAGCGGCGGCGATGGCGGCGGCGGCTGCGGCCGTCCCGCCTCCCGTGATGGACTCCTGTACAGGTGAGGGGCGGGATTTGGAGGGTTTTTGGGGGGTCTTTGGGGGATTTTGGGAGTCTCGGGGGGATTTTGGGGGGGTGTCCAAGGGAGGTTC